CGAAATCCATAAAAATGCAGTTTTGTAAATCAAAATGAATAGACCAGGACGAAATTACAGATTCATCACCCCGTTGACCACGAGAGGAAATGTATAGGACTTCAAAAAAGGAAAGAGCAAAAACGAAGATGAGCAAACAATCACATTTTATTGGATATTTGTTATTTGATTATTTGTTGTTTCGTTGTGTTGGTGTTTTTGGTTATTTGTTTTATATTGATGAATCTGTAGTTTCGTCGTTTCCTATCATCCCGTCAACCTATCTTGCTGTTTTAATGTTTATAATCCATTTTTAATATTTTAATTGATCTAAAATTACAATTTATTGCATTAAACACGTACTTCTGAATATGTGGATGTAAACGTGTCTGGACAACTCAAAAACAGCGGGGATAAACTGATCAAAATGTTCAGAAATGACTACAGATTGATTACTCGAATGACCTGAAAAATATAGATTCACCCATCGACAACTAGAAGATATTCCTACGTTTTTCTTCCTTTTCTTCTCGTGGCAATTTTTTTTTTTTTTTAATTATTCAGTATAACTCAGGCCCAGTTCAACTTGAAAATTTCAAATATAACCCTGTACATCCTGCCACATCGTTTTAAAGGATTTTTTACTTTTTTGGAGAAAAATTGTACAGGGTAACTCAGGACCAGTTTAGCTAAAACTTCAACTTTCAAATATGATCCTATACATTCTTACACATCGTTTTAAAAGAAGCTTAAGGCAAAAAGTTTGGAAAACAAACCAGTCTTTTGGTTTGTTATTTATTAATCACATTTCTTGTTCGAACTACTTGCCTTGCAAAGATTTGCTCTTTTAAACCACTGTTCACCGGTGCTCAAGGCGATAGAGTCAGGGGAGGTGAATTGACAAGCATTTTCTATCCTTTGACTCAGCTCTAGCTCTTCAACTGAGTTGCTGAGTTATGATTGGCGTGGACACTATTTTTTAAATAGCTCCACAGAAAATGTCAAGTGGAGTTAAATCGGCTGACCGAAGAGGAAACAGATTGGGCCATGTGGTCCTATCCACCTCCTGGATGGGACGGCTCAAGTAACGTCTCACCTGCAAAGAATTCTGTGCGGGACATCCTTCAAGCTCGAGAACCATTCGTTGTTGTTTTTGCAGAGGAACATCATCCAACAAAAGGCAAAACCTCCCTAAAAAAAATTGAGGAATTGTGCATCATATAAATTATTTTCGTAGAAATGAGGCCAAAAATTTATTTCCACACCAAACGATGATACTGTGAACAACCTGATGATGACAAGAGTTCAAAATTCTCGGATTTTCCTCTGCCCGCGATCAAAAATTTCATTAGAGGTGAACTTGGATTCATCAGTCCATAGAACGTGTATACCATTTGTATCCGCCTCCGAAAATGGAACGTTAGACGCCTGTAATAATCAGAATCCCGAATTCCCTCGACAAGATCAGAGCGATGCGGCTTAAAATTGTAAGTCCGGAGTATATCTCTAATTTTATTTTTTGAAAAGTCTAATACCCTTCCAACATTTCGAAGAGAGGGATTCGGATTTTCGTGAATACAGTAAAATATTCACTTCCGCGTCGAAATTTTGTTAATATTTTTTTTTGCCGGTTTCTTGGTGGTGGAACAGCAACTGATCCGTATGTCCACATGTTGCTAATAACAAGAATAAACGTTACGGTTTACATTGGGGCGATCAGGAAATTTCTTGGGGTACAACTCGACTGCACGACGCGCAATACCACCACTGTCAATAAAACAGTCGTACATATCAACTCGCCGTTGAAAAAAATGTTCTCTTCGGTTCATTTTGAATGGAATACTGAATGTAACAAATAGGTATTAATGTAAAATTTATTTATTTCCAGGAATTAAGATTTATTATCATAATGCGAGTTTGACAAACGATGACGGAATGTAAACAATGAAAGCAGTTAATGTTTATTTTAGTAACAAGCAAACTATTGCAATCAATAACGAAACAAACAAATGCGTTTTTTCAAACTTTTTGCCATAACTTTGTCATTTTTTTAGCAATTAAATTTCCGATTGTACTATGGGTTTTAGCGTAAAAAATCCTTTAAAATGATGTGTCAGGGTAGTATTTGAAATTTTGAAGTTGAACTGGGCCTAGGGTAATATGTATAATTTTTCTCCAAAAAAGGTAAAAATTTGAAACTAAAAAAATTAAACACGTATTTTTTATAGCTTCATTGGTTCAAGAGAAATTCAGCCGGGCCATCTAAAAAGCACACCCTGTATATTATAAAAACTTAAAATTTTAGCGCATTATTTAGCACACATTCATAAGTATGTGAAAACGAAAGAAAAGTAAACTAAAATGTCGTACCATTTCACCATGAAATACCGTTATAACAGTTGATTTGTGAAGGTTTCCCACATTCCTTGAGTTATATTTACTGGAATGTTATTTACTGGAAAGTTTCGTACCCTGCAAAGGTTTTCGTTTTAAAATGTCCAAATATGTAGAATATCAATATCAAATGATTAGACTAAAACGTAGATATCATATGACATGGATTTTCCGCACTGCAAATAGCATTGCGTAATATGCTGAAAGGGAGAATAGGTGTACACAGCGGAGAAATATACATCATTTATTCGAAGTCCATTCAAGATATAAAATTTTAAAATGAAAAATGACGGGGAAAATTACACCAACGATACGAAAAATTATGCAAATAACATTGATTAGATTTGACCTTGTCAAATTGTAAATGTTGTTATAGCAAAAATAAAAATGATAAAAGAAAACAACGTTGATGATTGAAACGATACTCGATTCTCCAGCATGTTGACTAAAATGATTAATATTTGACGAGGGCTAAAATCATAAGAATATTGCAATTTGTGTAGTTTGAACAAGAAAAGTGTGGCTTGTTTGAAGAGCTTTAAAGAGCTTTCTAAAAGAAGGGAATCAAAGGAATCAAAGAGAATTCCAAACACAGTAAACGGATATAACGAGGACGCCGTAATTCTCCCTCATTAAAAATAAATAAATTCAACGTGTACTTAAAATAACAATTATAAACTTAATTAAAAATCTTATTGGATATACGTCCAGTTGTGTTAAATTGAAATTATTTGCCCGGAGTTGTGCGACCCCGACATGTCGGACAAACTAATCGGTATAAACTTAGTTCACTGCAGTCGACATTGATCGGATGGGATGAAGTGATGCAAATCACTGGTATTTAACCTATTTTCGAACTTGCTTCAATTGTGGTGCACGGCCATTGACTACCAGTTCAAAAATTTAATAATATATTGAGGAATCGAACCCTATTTCAACATTTCAAACTTCTTTAGAAAAATAAAAATTGAGACTAGCTAAAAAATTCGCCAAGAAAATCTAGTCTAAACTTACAACAGGAAAAAACTTAATATTACTGCTGGTCAGTTTTTGCATATGCCATACTCAAAAAATTCGAACCTTCAACATTCAACTTTTGAATTACGTTAAATCTTGCTAGATTTTATTTCTAAGTTAAAAAAATAAAGTATATGTACATATTGTGAATAGTATATACATCACTATAATAGCTATCATTTTCTTTTATTATTTATTTACAATATAAGTGCAATTATGTAATGGAACCACCTACCCGACAAGCATTGTCAATTGTCTATTGTAAATTTAATACTATAGACACAAATGTGTAAAGTTCACTAAATTTACTTGTTTATTATTATTAAATTAAGCGAAAAGTTCACGAGCGGCAGAAGAAGAGAAAAAAGCGCATTTCGTATTGCTAGTTCTATCTGCAAATTCATCACCAGCATAATTTCATCCCTGGAGTAGAAAGAAAAAGTCATCTTCTCTGATATTACAAATTATAAATTAATAACACGTTAAATTTAACATTTAATATAAATCAAAGTTTTATGATTGAAGATGGTATCTCTCGAAAGCAGGAAGTTCTAAGGACTTATAATTGGCAACCTTGTCGTAGACAATGATGACTTAATTAGCACAGTGCTAAACTGAGTCGATAGAGTTAGAAATTAATTATTTAAATTGATAGATTGATTTCAAGGAAAAATACAAATAAAATTACAACAAAATATTTTTTATAATTGAGACTTTTAAAAATTAAATATACCTGCCTAAATTTAACTGCTTGTCAGTCAGTTTAATCAGATACTTTTTTTTAAATTTAACCAATTATGGCTATAATATTGAAGTAATTAAGTCAATTTTGTATGTACCTGACTCTTGTGGTTTTATATATTTCCTATTATTACATCGACTAGCGTACTAACTTCACGATTAATTTTACCACCGTAGAGAATTTAGAATTTGGAATTCTGGAAATTTCGTGTTTGTAAGTTGTAAGAAAATCGAAATGGACACTTTTGTTTGAGTAAAGCGTTTAAGTAAAGTTTTTAAGAAGCTTTTAATTCTCAAAGCAAACAAGTTACGAGTCCTGTTAAACTTCGGTCTTTTTGAAATTTTGATTTCCGAGAACCATTTTTGTTTGATTTTAAACAATTAGTCGGAGTGCAAATATTACCAATGTCGTTTTCCCAGTTTTGTAAAGAAATGTATTATTCAGTGCTGGTATAATCCTAGTGATGATGATATTTTATGGAGTACTCGGCGATTAAATATTTTTACTTCTATTAGTATATTTATTTTACAAAAGGCATCTTCGGTATTTTATTTAAAAAAAATCCTCCCTGGAGAAAACGATGCAGGATTTAATGTGAAAAAGGGTTGATTCTCCCTTATTTTAATTTTTAACTTGATACTGATCCTTTAAATTAAATAAAAAAATTAATGTAGCATGTTTTAGATAGGAATGATTGCCTCGTAATGGCTTTTCACAGGGAAATTTATTTTCAATAACTCCATTGAAGAAGAAAATATTAAATCTTATTTAAAATGGATTTTTCCATTTAACGTCTGCATCATTCATGAAAAAACATTCACAGGTGCTTATTAATGGCTCTAACCCTTTTATTTTCTTTTGGTTTCAGATCATGATGATAAAGCTGTAGACTTTCACTCCACCATCGCCTTCATATGTGAGTCCAGTTTATTGTCTTTTGTCTGCTAACGGTCCCCGTAAGTGGGCCTTTAACTAACCTAATTTACATCGAAGATCATAAGATTTCACTGCTATTATAGTGCTTAAACCAAATTCGCCTCTGTAAAGCACATTTCAGTCTATACTTAGCGGTCGTAAAGCCGAACTCTTCATTGGGTCTTTGGTAGGTTTCGACCACAAAACCGTACGCGGGCCAATAAAAAGAAAAAAATCTATATACATTTGTTTTGCTAGGAGTTTGTTTCCTTTTGTTTTTGAGGGTATCGATGATTGTCGATCTTGTCAAAGTGGAAATATTCTTGTAAACAATATGTTGAATGGAGTGTGGGGACATTCAGAAAATAAATAACCTTGAAGGAATAATTTTCTCAGTGTTTTATATTTAAAAGATTGGGTATGAAATTCAACGAAAGCGTGGATAAATCCGGTCTTTAACCTGACAACCGGTCCAATTTCGTTGTGAATTAATTTACACTTGACCCCGTTTTCAATTTTCGGTGTTGGTGCGAAAACGTCGAGGCGACCGGGAGAGAGAAAAAGGGCCTCCGGTCGATCCAAAACGCCCTTACGTCCTAGGCCTAAATATACACATCCATTGTCCCGTCGTCGTTTGAGGGACAGGGGAATAAATTTAAGGCAACCCAGCATGGGGTTAAGAGGAGAGGACTTCATTTTCCCCCTACAGCCTCCCTTTGAATTGTGACGCTTTCAACCGTGTTCGTAATTTTTAAAATAATTATTACAAACATTTTGACAGTGTGACAAAAAATAAAAGTGCCCTCCCCCCAGTAGCATTGTGTTGCCCTTCAAACAGAAAATTATTAAAAGATAATAAATAAAAATCCTGTGCGTTTTATTAGCTATAAAAAATACATATAATTGGGAACAATCGTACGTTACTTTTATAACACTTTTTCAGTATTAGCCAATTGTTTAAAATTAGAAAATAATATAAACAATCATTTATAAATTGTCACTTAATGCTATCACCCACCTTTATTAGTATATTAGTCAATTTTCACCGATAAGATTAGTGATCAGCATTCGACATCATAATTTTATATTAAAAATCGATTAAGGATGAGGCCAATTAGAAAGAAAGCAGTCCTGCTCCTCATTCTTGATCGTATTTTAATATAAAATTTCATTAGGTTACTCTAACATCCTATTAACTTATTTTAATTTGACTTCTGTTTGATTTTGAATTATTTCCTGACATGATTCATTGAAATGTTTATGATGAATTTGGGGGAAAGGATGGGTGGAAAGATTAGAAATGGTCGTATCGGTGGAAAAACTGTGTAATCTGAATCCGATTTACAAAAAATGAGATTTTGAGTGAGTTCAAGTTCCAGCCATGGGTCTTACAAAATTTACTTCCGACTCGAAACAGTATGCCATTAAAAAAACAAAACAATAATTTAGCAAATACAAACATTTTGGCAGGGTGCAGATTCAAAATGCTGCTAGTATCTATTTTTATCATGCAATATCGTTTTTCATATTTTATTTATTGTAATATCGTTTATTGAAAAATTCAATTAACTTATGAAATTATATTCCTGCATGAAGAACCTGTCAATATGACAGTGTCAGCTGGTTGAATTTTCCCGACTTTATTTGTTGTTCGGGATCGTAGTGTTTGTGTACTGAGTAATTTTTTAATTATTTTAATATAGTCGTTAAACGTTTTCTGCGTAACGCACAAGCTTTCTATTTTATTTTAAGAAAAGTACATCTCATTACTTGAACTCGGTAAATTCTCAGTTCGAATCCCTGCTAGCCTATGGTTTTTTAATTGAGAAAAATAAGGCAACAACGAAAGTATTTTAATGTAGTGTATCCCCTACTGTGATCCCCTCCGCCGTCGTGACCCTCAGCCTATAACGACGTTAAGCTCCCCTGTATAACAAGATTTACTTGACTTACTTTGGAGAGATTTACTTTGGAAGAAATCTTTCTTTAAAGAAGATTAAAAGTTTGCTATTTCAAGATAAGGTCTTCGATTCTGAAAGTGCCAACAATCAACGACATACGGAAAAATAAGAAAAAATGTGAGAGACATGGGGGAGGGTAAGAGAGAGAGAAATACAGAGAGGGAGAGGGGGAGAGAGAGACATGAAGAGAGAGAGAGAGAGAGAGAGAGAGTGAGAATGAGTGAGAGACTAGAGAGGAGAGAAAAAGATGGATAGATAGTTAGATATACAGATAGATTGATCGAGATAGAAATAGAGATAGATAGATAGATAGATAGATAGAGAGAGAAGAAGAGATAGATAGACAGATAGAGAGAGAGAGCGAGAGAGAGAGAGAGAGAATGAGTGAGAGACTAGAGAGGAGAGAAAAAGATGGATAGATAGTTAGATATATAGATAGATTGATCGAGATAGAAATAGAGATAGATAGAGAGAGAGAGAGAGATAGATAAACAGATAGAGAGAGAGAGAGAATGAGTGAGAGACTAGAGAGGAGAGAAAAAGATGGATAGATAGTTAGATATATAGATAGATTGATCGAGATAGAAATAGAGATAGATAGATAGAGATTGATAGATAAATAGATAGATAGATAAATAGATAGATAGATAGATAGATAGATAGATAGATAGATAGATAGATAGATAGATAGATAGATAGATAGATAGATAGACAGATAGATAGAGAGAGAGAGAGAGAGGAAGCGCGAGCGCAAGAAAGGGAAAAAGAGAAAGAAAGAGAGAGTGTGAGAGTGGGAGGGGGAGAGATAGAGTGAGTAAGATATTAGAGAGAGAGAGAGAGAGAAAAAAACAGTGAGAGAAGAAGGGAGCGAGGGAGAGAGAGAGAGTAGAGAGAGAGTGTGTGTGTGTGTGTGTGTGTGGGAATAGAGAGAGAGAAAGAGCGAGGGAGCGCGAGAAAGAGAAAGAGAGAAAGAAAGAACGAGAGAGAGAGTGAGGAGAGAGAGTGAGAGATTAGAGATAGAAAAAGAATGAGAGAGGGAGGGAGAGAGAGTGAGAGAGGAGAGAGAGAGAATGAAAGACAGTTTAATAGATGGGTACTAGCAAGAACTAGAGAACTTGATTATAATATATACAAAGAATATTAGATAAATATATATCTGACAGTCACATAGATAAATAGTTTTACAGCTCGATGAGTGGTAAGAAAAGAGAATGATTATGTGTAAATAAAGGTAATCCTAGATAACTAGAACTGTGAGCTCCTGTAAAAAAATGACTCTCACTTCACAAAATACTTTCTCAAAAGTGTCGAAGTGTCGATATTTATTCAATCAAGGACGAAAGAGTAACTTAAATCAGCTATAAGGTCAAACGTCTTACGCATCCTTGTATTTTATTAATAGGAAGAGTAAAAACCCCTTTTAATAGGACATGCTTTATAAAGGACGAAGTTGAAAGTCCGGTATTTCAAGATAAAGACGCCGTTCCTCTCAAGGAGGCAACAATCAATTCAACATAAACAGTCAATCGATATTATCAATAGACATACCTTTTCCCCTATAAATTTATTCATCTTAGCCTCCTGTAGAAAGTCCGCGTCCTAGGCGGTTGTCGCCAAGAGAAAGCAAGTCGAAGGAAAATTCAACAGATCACCGTTTCATTACGTCACGAATTCAAATTGGGTTGATCCCAATTGTCCACCGAGATGAGAGGTGGGCTTTGTGAATTGGATTAAGAATAATTACCGCTCTAGGCTACTGTCGCCGCTTCTCACTCGTATTCCTTAACCGGCTAGCGCGTCCCTATTGTAATTGAAAATTAATGTTTTGGGCTAATAAATATTAATTACAAATGTTTACAGATATCTATGAACTAATTTAAACAGACTGAAAAATTTCTGGGATTCGAAAAATTTTAATTCTCCAATTGGCCTATCGTCAGAGTCTTTCGTTCGGGCTCAAAATAAGAAGAAGTCCCCACTTTAAACCAAAATGAATCAATAATTTTAGTATATATTGAATTAGCTCGATGACCAAGAAGGATAAAAATTCGCCAAAAAAATCTCATTCCATCCTGCGAAACAAAATTACAGAGAAAAGTTTTAAAGGTGAATAGTGAATAATATATATATATTGTAGTGTTTGCTGTTAAAAAGAATGTTATTATACTTTGTTATGCTTTGTTTATAAATGATTATTCGAAGATCGTGAGGTCTTAGAGGTTTTAGAAAAACATTTTCGTTATCGTGCCAACGTTTCGATCTTTATTGAGATCATCTTCAGGGTTTAAATTGTTTCGTTTGCGTGTAGATGTGTCATTCTTGTGTGTCGTGTTGGGCACTCTCCACACATTAAGACATTAACACAAAAATTACACCAATTAAAACTCTGTGCCGCCAACATAATATCTACAGACACTTTAACAAAATTCTACAAACATCAAAAAGACGCACTTCGACCAAATTAAAAACAGGGGCACTCTCAACACGACACCCAAGAACAGTGTCACATCTTCACAGAAAACAAACACTTTGAGCCCTGAAGATGATCTCAATAAAGATCGAAACGTTGGCACAATAAAGAAAATGTATTTCAAAAAACCTACGTCACACCAGACCGCACTCAAGATCTCCGAATTATCGTTGACTAAACGTCACTAATCACCACACATTTGTTTATAAATAAACTACATAGAACAGTTTTAATGCTAGACATATTGAACGCGAGAATTACCTTTACAGAAGTGGCCAATTAAATAAAATTAATATACTTGTTGGAGATATGTAATGGAAAAGTGAAATTTTGTAAGCTAGAGATGAATAAATAATCTCACATTTCCATAGATAAATGTAAGATGTATAAAAGAAAGAAACACCGAGTGAGAAAGTGAAGGTGTAGATAAATAAGTATTCCAACAGTTCACAGACAAAGACATGGATACACGTGAAAATACAGAGAATTAAAATATATAGATCTAGGTAGACATGTAAAAAGAAAAAAGCACAGAGTCAGTGAGAGAAAGTCGATTATAAGTAAATGTTT